CAAGAGCAGTGAGATATGAGCCCCCAAACATAATTCCTAGCATTTAAAAATGACATCCAGCATGTATTTCAACAAGGAGCAGCAAGAGCAGTGAGATATGAGCCCCCAAACATAATTTCTAGCATTTAAAAATGATATCCAGCATGTATTTCAACAAGGGGTAGCAAGAGAAATGAGATATGAGCCCCCAAACATAATTCCTAGCATTTAAAAATGACATCCAGCATGTATTTCAACAAGGAGCAGCAAGAGCAGTGAGATATGAGCCCCCAAACATAATTTCTAGCATTTAAAAATGATATCCAACATGCATTTCAACAAGGGGCAGGAAGAGAAATGAGATATGAGCCCCCTAACATAATTTCTAGCATTTAAAAATGTCAGCAAAAGGAGCAAAACATAAGCCCCAAATGTGATTTCCAACACTTAACATAAACTTCCGGCATATATTTCAACAAAGGGCAGCAAAAGGAGCAAAACATAAGCCCCAAATGTGATTTCCAGCACTTAACATAAACTTCCAGCATATATTTCAACAAAGGGCAGCAAAAGGAGCAAAACATAAGCCCCAAATGTGATTTCCAACACTTAACATAAACTTCCAGCAAAGGGCAGCAAAATGAGCAAAACATAAACCCCAAATGTGATTTCCAGCACTTAACATAAACTTCCAGCATATATTTCAACAAAGGGCAGCAAAAGGAGCAAAACATAAGCCCCAAATGTGATTTCCAACACTTAACATAAACTTCCAGCAAAGGGCAGCAAAATGAGCAAAACATAAACCCCAAATGTGATTTCCAGCACTTAACATAAACTTCCAGCATATATTTCAACAAAGGGCAGCAAAAGGAGCAAAAAATAAGCCACAAATGTGATTTCCAACACTTAACATAAACTTCCAGCAAAGGGCAGCAAAATGAGCAAAACATAAACCCCAAATGTGATTTCCAGCACTTAACATAAACTTCCAGCATATATTTCAACAAAGGGCAGCAAAA